TTCACAGCCGGCTCGCCTCAAGCCGCAGCATCGGCTTGGGGGCTGGCAAACAGCAACTTCCTAGCAGTCACAGGACCCGGTTCGTCTGTATGCGGTGCTCTGGTTTTGCTCCACTGGAGAGATCGTGGTGGGTTAACATAGACCTGCTCTGAGTAACACGCTTTGCATGGCTGAGCCCTTAACTCCTCTTATGTTTCCAAGTATTGAAAATGTCATTCTTGTGGCGGTCCGTGCTTAAAGAGTAAATAATACGTATATTTGAAAAAGCTTTGTGTATCAGCACTGAAGCCGTTTCCCAGAATTAGATTGTACCGATCGTATTCAATGCCATTCTTGTGTTGTTGTGATTTATCCTCACATCGCATGAACTTACTTCAGTACTTGGAGTCTATTTAAATAAATGGCACTAGAAAATAGAAGCACTTGTTTTTTTGAATTATTATAGTCCTGTTTGCCAGACCACTGAGGTCTCATAATAGCTTACTTTGTTGTCCCGATGTGTCATATTTCATCATAAGCTAGTACTGAAGGACAGAGCTGATGCGGATGACCAGGGTAGCTCTCTCAACCAAGGGTAGCGTGATCATCTGTGTCACGCTGCCAAGTTGTAGGAAGGATTTCCCCACACACTGGCTTTGTAAAATAGTATTCTGCAAGGGTTTATTCACAGAATGGAACACTGGCCTTCTGGAAGTTCACATACTCGATGAGTCACATTTGGATTAGGAAACAAAGGATCTTCGACGTGGTCTCTGTGCTTCACACCCATGGGATCTAGTGTGCACGCACTGGTTCGATCGGCATTGTAACTAGCTCTTTAATTGATTTTCGCGCCCAGACCTCGGGCATGCGCAGGCACCCCACGGCGCATGCCCAGAGGGGTGGGCGTGGACATCCCGCCAGTTCCTTTCTTACTGCTGCGTTGGAAAGACCTTTTCTTTGTCGGTCTGATCGGTTACTCTTTTTTGGCTATTTGCCTCACGGCTCTTTTGGCTCTTTTTATTTTTTCCTCAGTTTATTCTTTTTTTCTTAGTCTTTCTTCGTTTGTTCTTTTTTTTTTTGCAAATGACTTATTAATTTTATAATAAAACATACAAATAAAATATTTCCAAACTTTACAATAACAATTTAAACTAAATCTACACCACAAAAAAGTATGTACAATTCACCTTTGTACCAATAGAAAGCAAAGTCCTTATATTTCTGCGGTAGGTTGAATGTCTGTGGTCGACAGTTTGCAATATATTCAAAGAAGATATACCATTTTTTCAGGGGTGGTTTCGTAGAAAAAGATTTTTTCCATAAAGTTGTTTTCAATATTAGGGTTGTCTTGTATTATAAGCTGCATTGCAATTTTGTCGGAGACAATCTTGTCCCATATTTTTGTTCTCCATTGGGTTATTGTAGGGATTTTGTTTACTTTCCAGTTCAATGCTATTAAATTCTTGGCAGCCATCAATAGTATTGAGAGAACATCCGACATTTGTTTTGATAGTCTCATTCCAGGCCAGTAATGTAGTAAAAGTGAAGCAGGAGTATTCAGTATTTCGTGATTTGTAATCGTTTTTACTTCATCCGCAATTTTATTCCAGTAGGATTTAATTCTGGGACAAGCCCATCAACAGTGTTTCAGATCTCTTATTTCACTGCAACCTTTCCAACAATTTGGGGTTGGTTTAAATTTGCTTTTAAATAAGCGGTTGGGCGTGGGGTACCACCTTGCATATAATTTAAAATT